GATTTATGCAGTGCATAGGCTGGAATGCGTATGTGATGCTGCAAAATTAGCTACATCTTGTGTTTTTTCCTCCTCTGCAACTCAGCTGTAAAATACACACCTGTACATACGTGATGTCCACGTCACCTGAGGAGATGCCTGCACCCCCCCCCACCCACACCCACACACACATACACACAGTTTCTGTAAGATCAGCAGATGCAGAGAGTTTCCATAACATGAAGCAGAAGTAAAATAATGTATCGTGATGGGACACATCTGCATCTGTCATCTCACTGAACTGTGTGTGCTGCTAGTGGTAGAGGGGGTTTGCATGTATGGGTCATTCCATCAATAATTATGTTAAATTTAACCAAATGTATATAGTTATTTTTTTTTTGTGAAATTGTCTTAAATTATGTTTTGAGTTTTTCTCTGTGTTGGTCTGGATGATTGATGTGTAAATGAACCACAGTTTGGCATAAAAACAGCATTTTGCACTGTGAAAGAGATCACCTTCGTTCCCAGAAACTGGTCCCGGTTTTTGGATTTTAGCGGGCAGTTTTTGACAATGTTCTGCATCATTCTTACTCTCCTCTCTTTCTCTGCAAAGCAAGTATCTGTAAAGCTGATTAAGTTACAGCCTAATATCAGTTGGCTGTTGAGGATAACTTCAATTGGAGAATCTCTAAAAGTTATTCAGTTATAGATTCCATCGGGTGATTGCTTTGTGAGTTTCATTAAAATGAGTCCACTGGTTCAAGACATATTTAGCTAACACAGCAGATAAAGGAACATGCAACGAGTAGTGATGTGAATCAGAAAAAGCCTCCAATTAGTGAAAGCCGCTCCCCTTTTGTTGTTTTTCCTCTCACTCACCTGACCCCATGAAGAGCTACAGGACATGGGTGGTCATACTTAGTCCTCAAGGGCTCTTATACTGCATGTTTCATGTGTTCCTCTGATTTGAATAAATGGGTGATTAATAGTTTTTTTTCCAGAACTAAAAGTAATTCAACAAATGATTGGAGCAAATTAAAACATGTAAGATAGCAGCCCTTGAGGACCAGAATTGCCCACCCCTGATGGTCCATACTGATAACAGAGAAGGGGACAAACGTGACATTCAGGTGGAGCATTTGTCTGTCCCCTCAAAGGCCCAGTATTTTCAATCCATTAAATAAAAAAATTGAACTAAAATATTAAATAAAAGTACAAATCCCTGTTTTGGTAACAGAACAAATACACAAATTACGTAAGGCTTTACATTAAAAATTAAATTTGAAAAGTTTTATCAATGCACAAATCATTCATAAATCAATCTCACATATGAGGTAGATGATAGAAATGAGTTAAGAGCCATTTGGGGGCTAAAAGAGTCAGCTCTTCTTCAGGAGCCGATCCATAAGAGCCGACTCTCTGAAAAAAGCTGGACATCACTAGCACTCAGGCAATAACTTTACTGCCCTTTTTATCTTTGCAGGGCGCAAAGCATGGGTTGAACACAGAGTGCAAAACAAAAAAATAATAAACAACAAAAATTTTGATTTAATGGCTAAAAAAGGTAAAATAGATACACATKTCTATCAGTGCAGCTTTTAAAACTCCTTTTAAAATTCATGAAAAGACAGGGAAGTGTCTGAAGGCTGATGAGTATTCTGAGGATTATTCCAAAGGTGAAGAGCCACAGAGAAAAGAGACACTTTGTGGACATTTAACAGGGTTTTATAAACAAATCTGTTGTTCTAACTGCTAGTGTGGTATGATAAAAGGCTTTAGTTTTAGTTAATCTCACAAATGTAAGAACACAATCTGAATTATTTACTTGTTTTAGCAGCTACCAGTGTTACATTACAGTTAATTCATATCCTGTCAGGTGGAGAGCACAGAGGATGCCTCTCACTGGTTATTTGAGAAAGATCTGAAAGGATTACATCATGTTTTACATTTTTTATACATTCAATGTTCTTTTTTCTTTCTTTCTTTTACTTTTCTTTTCCGTTACACTTGACCTTTGATCCTCCTCCTTCAAAGCGACACTTTCTGATTGTCCTCCTCACCTCACTTGCTTGTCCTCTCTGAGCCATTAAACTTCTCTGTCAGCCTTTTTTTTGCCACTCTCAGATTTCATCAGTGGAATAAGCAGCATCCACAAGCACGTTCTGCATTCAAGCCTGCGTGAGACAGAGAGCGAGGATGTGCCGAAAGACAAATTACCTTTTATAACAAAGCTAATGAAGATATTGGCTGCCCCCCTACCACCACCACCACACACACGCCGCCCCATCCTCTGTTTTTCTCCACCTTTCCCATCCATCTTCTCCCTTCCGCACTGTCCCCTGCGCCTCCGTGTCCCCACCTGACCCCCTCTCTCCAACCTGACAATAACTCACTTCCTCTCCTCTTCATCTTCTCCCCCTCCGTCTAGGTGGACTGTTCATTAGGAATACAGATCAGGAATACACGGCATTTCGACTAGCTATCTTCCTTCACAACACCAGCCCAAATGCTACAGAAGCTCCCTTTAACTTGGTTCCTCACGTGGACAACATAGAAACCGCCAACAGCTTTGCAGTGACGAACGCATGTAAGTAAAAACGTGTGATGCTGAAACAGATGAAATGTGTTCTCTTGCTGTTGTTGTTTCTGTCTGTACTGCTGTCTGAGTTTTCCAAACTGCTGGATTTAAATTCTAAGGGGGCATTTATATGTCACAYATAGGCCTGTCACGATAAGACATTTTGCTGGATAATAAATTGTCCCAGAAGGGATTGCGATAAATGATAATATTGTTTGGAGACAATTTTAAATGAATATAATGACCCCACCACCACCTYCACCCCTACAAAGTTTGGCACAGTGCCCTGAGGGCGTCCTGGAGCGTCGCCAGCTGAAAAAAGGTGTCGGAAAAGAGTTTAATCATCTACAGTTGAGTATTAGAGCCACACTACAAGATTTTACAAAAAAAAAATTTATTATGAGAATAAAGTCAAAATATTATGAGAATATAATTGTAATATTAGGAAAATGTTGTACTTGTCTGTATACTAAGGAGTAGAAAAGGTGGAGATGCGAAGAAAACATACAAGCAGACAAATAAAAGTTATACCTGATGTGAATTTATCAACATTCTTTTAATTTATTGGGTGATTAATTGATTCATTGCTTATCATGCATAACAAATTATTGAATTTTAATATGATTAATAATAGTGAAAAGGCTCTTTGGAGTTCTAAACAAAGATAAAAAGTTTGTTTCATCTTCCCTGTCTGTACTCTAGTCATTAGGGTCAAATTCCTCACACTCCTTCTCAACTTTAGGAGAAAGTCAATAAGGCCTCCAAAGACAAAAAAAAGTTAAAATTACACAAGCAGACGTTAGACATTCTCAGCAAATAATCAATAGTTTTTTTTTGTTTTTTTTTTTTGTTTTTGTTTTTGCTTTTTAATA